CTTATCATCTCTTTGCATGTATGTGTGCACATGCATATCTTTTTTTAAATTACGTGTAACTTTTCATTATATTACACACATACAATCTTTAACTAAATATGTGCGAACTTGTTGTCATTACAGAAATGCTAACTTTACAACTTGGTATTTTTTAGTTACAAAGTCGAAAAAAAGGAGGATTTTTCTCTTTTTTTCTCTTCTTCTTTACTGCGTTTAGTTTTCTCATACACTAAAAAATATAGATTCTTGTTATATTATCACACTTCGAGTTCCCATCCTGGTAATGCGTAATCTAATATCGGTAGATAATATACGTGGATAACGAACATCAGCAAAATATTGACGTATGAAAACATTGTAGGTTTTTTGTGAATAGTAACAATTAAAATTTTTAATAAATCAGAGTTCATTGTGGTTCATTAATCGGAAAATTTTTGATCCAACAGATAACTGAATAAAATGGAAGATGACAGCAAGTGTTAAGTGAAGTGAAATTTGAGACTAATGAAATGAGACAACACAGAATGAAAACAATTAATCTTCTGAAACATAAATTGTTATAATAACTTTTAACATTTTTCCTACATCTTCAAAGATTTTAAATGCTGTACTTAACATAGTATTAGCTATTGATATAGCTTTCTTTCAAAAGAAACTTGCATTGTCCACATAGATTTTAGATGCTCTTTTATTGATTTTCTGTAGTGAAAACTGCAAGTTTTTTGCAAGTTTCTTTCGATTGTTTTCTCATATTGAAAATATGTACTTAAGAAAAGCATCTGTTCTGTTGTTGACTATCACTTTACTATTGTATAAAAAATTTAGCAAGACATTTTCTACAATATGATGGTTTTTTGGAGCGGAAAAGAGTCCTTGAAAAAGGTCACTTTCTCCTATTTTTCGGCCATCTTAGCGACACCGAGTATTTTCTATTTTTTCCAGGTAAAAACAAGTAGCAGTTTTATTTGTAAGTTACACAGTCTAATAGAGCGTGACATCCTTCATTTTCCGGTCTATAAATTAATGATTTGAACTTTGGATTTTATACTGAAATTGTCAAAACGCCTTTTTTTGTGCTAAATACTTCGGTGGACTTGGAAGTTTATCCATTAAAGCCAGGTACAAATAAAGTAAATTACCTTCAAGTAAACTATTTTGTAACTCATGAAATACTTTACCATTTAACGTTAATAAAATTATTTATTTCAGATTTTTTTTTACTCATTATACAGTCTTGTAGAGAATTAAATTCTCTATCTTTTGATATATAAACATATCACCGGATCGAAAAATTTTAAAAGTTTGTTCGGTCAAAACCGATTGCAGATTCGTCTTCTCCATGGTTGATTATGTGGTACGCGATAACTTCTGGATCGGGGTACTTTAGAAAAAATTTTCGACATCGTTTTGCCTTTGGTCCCATACGGTAATATTTGGAAAAATTTTTGAGCAAAACCATGGGAAAAAAGTTTTCTAAAGTACCCCAATCCAAAAGTTATTGCGTAACACATAATCAACCATGGAGAAGACGAATCTGCAATCGGTTTCGATCGAACAAGCTTTTGAAATTTTTCGATTCGTGTACGAACATTGGCTGATAAACCTTTACTTGTTCCATAAACAGGTATAATCGGTAAAGATGATAGAGAGCCGGTAATGTCTTTTGATTTCCACGTACCGTTTTGTCCATCAGCTCGACATGCATCCAAAATGACAATATTAACCAGATTTCGATGTTGATTTAAACGTTTCAAAACATCATCAAGACAAATAAAATCGTATTCAGGAGAATAATGACTAAAACTATAATCGTTATCATCAAACGGATCTACGGGAACTAAATAATTATGACCCTAAAAAATATACAAACTACATTAGTGAGCGTAGTTTCGAAATAAATTCGGAGATCTTATCATGCGGTTTTGAGTGAAACTAACTGAATGGACTTACTACTATAATGATCCCGAACCCGAAAAAATTTAAAATTAAATTGATGTCCCAACTATTGTCTAATCATGGTTATTTTAAACTTAAGCTACCTATAATACTTAATGAGCACATTTTTGACATTGACATTGCGAGATGTCGGCTGAATTTTAGTCAGCTGAATGCTGATCTGTATGCACGCTCACTTGTACCGTCTCCTAACTATGCTTGTGGATTCAGTGAAACTGTAGTCCATTTTTTCTTACATTGTTCGCTACACAATAAGGCTCGCACAGATTTATTCCATGTTATAACAAGAGTTTTAAATAACAACAAGATCACTATTGATCATATTTTATTACGCTATCCTTGTATGGCTACCCTATCCGTATCACAACTGGGAGAAGTCTACTTAGCTATCATTCGATATATTAAATGTACCAGTCGTTTTCGGCCGCCTTGATGCTGTGTATTTCTTTTCCTTGCATCTCCACTATTCACCCTGGCAGACAGATTATATTCCACTCTCCTCCCTCGTTTCTGCTTAGATCATTCAATTAGATTAATTTACTGAATTGCATTCTTAATTTGTTCTTTCTTCTTGCTATATAGTATATTCATTACTGTTTTTATTTCGATTATGGGCTTTTATATGTATTGTTTTAATGATTCTCTCATGCTTTTTCTTATTCAGGTATTTTAAAACAAAGCAAACCCAACCGAAAAAGCTTTTATTTTGATTGAGTTATGGGACTTTTACCGAAAGCACTACTATACCCAAAATTTAAAAAATGCATGACAACCGATAGAAAAACGATTATTTCTCTGTGGTTTTTTATGTGAAAAAATTTGAAGTATAGCTAAAAGATAGAGCGAAATCAGGGTTACAAAACGGCTAATTCAGTTTTTCTTACTTTCAAAACATCAACACAAGAAATCATTTTTGAGTTTAGGAAGTTTACATATTTTTCGACTTTCGTCTATTTGGCTTAGTTTTCTTCATTGAAGTTCTGAAATTATAGTTTAGGTATGATTTTGTAGAGTATTTCGCCGTGCATCTTTTAAAAAAAGCATTGAGTCTCGGAAACAAATCCAATGCAAGTTATAATTTTTTGCAAATGACCCCGAACTCAACCTAGTATTATTATTATCACTTTGATCACATTCAGAAAACGTTTTTGGTACAAAAATGCGTTTGAAAAAATTAAAAATAGCATTTGGAGGTAATTCGGTGAGCTCTATTCAACCATGACATAAAAACAAGGAAAAACCAAGATTTTCTACATTTTAAGTTATTTAATAAATTTCGCCTATTTTCGACTGGTCTTCTTCTGTATATTTTTTTTACGAAACTGCGTACCGTTTTTCTTAATTTGACGAGCTCTCGTCTCATATTGATTTTCAATGGAGAAAAAAATACTGATAAAATCTGCCTAAGATTTCATAGGATTTAAAGGTCTTGACCAACAGAAAAAAAATTTTTTTTAACCTGTTATTCCTATGCAGTTCCTTTTGAAAGTGAAGTATCGATTAGGTTAAACTTACGGGGTCCGAGTGGTAGATGATTTGCACAACACGTCAATTTTTCAGTTATCGGCGATCGACAGTATTGTTTGTAAGAATGTTCACTGGAAGATTTGTCTGAGGTACTAAATAAGAAAATGAACAGTATTAGCGTGTTATTCCAAGAAAAGTATATGATTTGGCAAGCTTTCTCTGAATCAGATGCTATCAACTTAGCATTGACACTATTGATTAAAATTCATAAATCATCATCGAATATGCGTGACTATTTACAATGTGGAAAAGTCAAACATTGGTGTGAAGATCCCTGTGAACGTGATGGTTTTTCTTGGCCCACTCCAACACAAGAGTATGAACTTTCTGAATTACAATCATCCATTTCGAATATCCATTTTATTGGTGAGCATACAAGTCCTATTCATGGATGGATCGGAGGTTCCCTATCATCGGCAATACGAGCGGCTTTGTCCATTACGGAAAAAGCAGAAACAACATTTGATGTGATCATCGTAGATGGAGGTCCAATCGGACTGATAACAGCCATTTGTTTGTCATTGAAACAGGCGACTCTTCGTATTGATATTGTAGAAAAAGGAACTATCATGAATGCAGATAGTAGCTCAGGTGCATTCGATCAACGACAATTTCGTCAAATATACAATGAAGAATATCTTGCTGAATTAGCCAATATGTCATTTCCTCTTTAGCGACAATTAGAACAAATGGGCAACTCACACAAAAAGTGATTGAATGGGTTTCTCGTCATATGGCAACACGAGTTAATGTATCAGATTATCATTTTAATAATCGAACATGTTTGGCTACACTTCTGCCTGACAATGGATTTTTACTTGATTATGTTCCACGAACAAACAAACGGGTGTTGATACAAGCTGCCGGACGGGGCATGAAGTTGATTTAAACTTTATTATAGAAGAACAGTAATCAAATCGGGCTGTGCCCATTGCATGACACTGGGAGAGAGGAAGAGGACAAACGAAAGTACAAAAAAATAAAAAAAACAAAAAAGAAACTAGACAAATAAAAAAGAACAAAAACAAGTGGCGATGTTTACTAGATGAAAACAATATAGAAACAATATAGATTTCAGAGATGAGAAGCTGATGAGGATGATTTTCTGTGGCGACTGCGTGAGTGAGGTATGAAGAATTTTAACGTAAGAGAA